AAAGGCTAGCCTAAAATGGGAGAAGGTACTTGCAATACATATGTTGGTCAAATTCATAACATATAAAGAATTCTTTTTTTTTTTTTTTTGGTACCGGGCATTGAACTTGGGTCCTTGCGCTTGCGCAACAGGCGGCAAAACCACTGAGCTAAATCCCCGGCCCTAAAAATATTTTTAATAAATTAGGATGAATAACAAATGACTACATGTTCCAGTAGAATACTCAGAAAAAATTAGGTTTGATCAAATTATGAAAGTTAAAGAAAATAATACACGACTATGTTAAGGAAGTAGAGATAGGAGAGGGTTGCTTGGGAAGGAAGGAGGTCATCCAGGAATGTTTGGGATTCTGGAGGCCAAGAACACATCCATTCTACAGGTCAGAGTTCTTTGATGATGTCCATGACTCATTGTGGTACCCCAAAACTCTGAGAGAATACATTGTGTTGTTTTAAGCCATCCAGTTTGAGGTACTCTGTTATGGCATCACTAGGATACTAACAGAGGGGAATCATGGAGAAATGATACATGCTCTCCTATATATTTTAATTTAAAGATGGCATCTCCTTATCAATTTTTGTTACCTGCCCTAGACCTGTCCTTTGGCACAAGTGCAATGACTTTATTTAAAATCTTTTTATTTCAAAATAATTATAGATTCATAAGGAATTATAAAGTAATATATTGGGAAGTCCTGTTTGCCCTTTCTCCAGCCTTCCCTCATGTCAGTACCTTACATACTACAGTACAGTAGCATCCCACAAAATTGACATTGCTATAGTCCATAGATGTTCTTTATATCTCGTGAGTTATACATTCACTCACTTGTGTGTGTGTATGTATGTCTAGTCATGTGCAGTTTTTTTGTGTGTTTTTTTTGTACTGGGGATCGAACTCGGGTCCTTGAGCTTGTGGAGCAGGTGGCGAAACCACTGAGCTAAATCCCCGGCCCATCATGTATAGTTTTATCATGTGTAGCTTTGCGTCATGACCACAGTGGTCAGAATATTCAGCAATACCAATCCTGTAAGACTCCCTTGTTACCTCTTTATAGCTACACACATCTCTTTTTCCTTTTCTCAAACCCTTGGCAACCACTCTGCTGTTCTCTTTTTATTTCATGAATGTTATTTAAATGGAATCCTTCAGTTCATGTTCTTTTGAGATTGTTATTCTTCTTCTGTTTCATACATATATAACCGTATGTATGTTCCTTATATTCATGTATAAGTTTATACATGAAAATAAACCTTCATTTGTCTAGGGTAAATCCTAAAGAATCTAATTGTTGGGTGGTATGGTAAGTATATTTTTGGTTTTGAAAAGAAATGCCAAATTATTTTCTACAATGGCTGCCACTATCTGGTCTTTCCAAAGCAGTTAGCTTAGTTAAGAAGCTAGTTTTCATACTCACTTGTCCATTGTGTACACAATCAAGGAAACAAATACAGGTGACTTCCATCAGGCACATAACTTGGCTAGTTGGATCAGCACAGTATGTGTGTAGCCCAGTAGATGCTACCCATGAACTTGCTAGGTCCTATCATAACATTTTCCAGGTAGAATGGAATGTTTAATTTTTTTTTCCCCAGTACCAGGGATCAAACTCAGGACCTTGCCCTTGTGAGGCAGGCACGGAGCCACTGTACTAAATTCCCGGCCCTGGAATATTTCATTTTATCTAAGCAGTCTGTCTAGTGACTTAGTTTAAAACTGATATGTTAGGGCTGGGGATTTGGCTCAGTGGTTCCACCTCCTGCCTCACAAGCAAAAGGTCCTGAGTTCGATCCCCGGTACCAAAAAAAAAAAAAAGGAAATGATTAAAACTGATATGTTACCGGGCTAGGGATTTAGCTCAGTGGTGCCACCACCTGCCGCACAATTTCAAGGTCCTGAGTTCAATCTCCAGTACTAAAACAAACAAACAAATGAACAAACAAAAACTGATATGTTACCAATGCCATGGAAGGTACCTGAATGCTTCTGACTTCAAGTAAGCAATTAGATGTGAAGTTTAGATGTAAGATACAGAAAAAAAATACATATCAAAGTACACACTCAGAGTTCTTTTTGTGAGTAAAAAGGTAACCTATGGAATGGAAAAAATTTGTAAATAATATATATGATACAGATTTAATATCCAGAATACATAAAGAATTTCTACAACAAAAACTTTGTATACTTAATGTTTAAATAGGGTTTTTTTTTTGGGTACTGGGGATTGAACTTAGGACCTTGCGCTTACCAGGCAGGCATGGCACCACTGAGCTACATCCCCAGCCCTAAATAGGCAAATTTTGTCTTATGTGCAACTTTAAAAATTTACTACAACTATATACATATATATATATATATATATATATATATATATATGAAACATTTTGTTTATCCATTCATCTGTCAGTATACACTTGGATTTTATCCACCTTTTGTCTAGAGATATAATTAAGACTTAGCAGTGTATGGCTGGCATTTAAGCCTAATGAAAGAGTATATATTGAGAAGAGGGCTGACCAGAGCTTGAATTGAAGGACATTCCACTGTTCCACTGTCAGAGAGCAGAGAAGGATGGATTAAAGGGAACTGTAAGTAAGTGGTCAGAAGTAAGAAGATAACCAGAAAAATATGTGTGTCTTAGTCCATTTTATGTTGCTGTGCTATAATAGAAGACCTGAGAGTGGGCAGTTTATGAAAGAAAGTTTGTTTAGCTCATGTTCTGGAGAGAGAAAACCCAAGATTTGTGGCTGGCCATCATCTGGCAAGGGCCTCACATTATATCACTACATTGCAGAAAAGCAGAAAGGCAGGCAAGTTTGGGTCAAATAGAGAAAGCAAGATAACTTATTCCCTCTAGTGAGAACTCACTTATTTCCACAAGAACAGCATTAATCCCTTCATAGGGGCAGAACCACTATGGTACAAACATCTCTTAAAGATCCCACCACCTCTCAATACTGTTACATTCCATACCAGATTTCAACATGAATTTTTGAAAGGAGAAAGCACATCTAAACCATAGCAATAGGATATACAGGAAGCAAAGGGATTCATCAGATATGTCAGATGTTGCTGAAGAGTCAGCTAGAGTGAAGGCTGGCACTTGAGCCCTGATTTTGGCAAGGTGATTTTCTTGGTGACTTTAGCTAGAAATGTTTCTAGATATTAGAGTTGAGATATTAGAATGGGTTGTAGGGAAAGTGGCCAGTATATACAGTCACTTGACTTAAGACAAAGTCAGGGAAATAATGTTTTCTTTTTCAATAAATGGTAATGAGTCAATTGAGTGTCTAGAAAAATAGGAATGTTGATTCCTACCTCATGCTCCAAAACATATCTAGGTGTATTATAAATATATATATGAAAGGTAAAAGAATAAAACGTTTAGAAGAGAATATGAGTATACCATGTTTTCATGACCTTTGTATTGAATTACCTTAGAATTAAGAACTTCTGTTCATGAAAATACTATTAAGAGAGTAAAAAGGCTAGCCTAAAATGGGAGAAGGTACTTGCAATACATATGTTGGTCAAATTCATAACATATAAAGAATTCTTTTTTTTTTTTTTTTTGGTACCAGGGATTGAACTTGGGTCCTTGAGCTTGCGAGGCAGGCGGCGGAACCACTGAGCTAAATCCCTAGCCCCATATAAAGAATTCTTACAAATGAGTAAGAAAAAGACACCCCAGAAACCACTCACATAGCCATTAATTGATAGATGAATGGATAAATAAAATATGGTATATCCATACAGTGGTGTATTATTC